GCCCTGATGGGCTCATGACCTCACCAATCCACTTTGGATCCTGCCTGTCCCTGTAGTCTTCATTCCAGAGTGTTCCTCATGGCACCAAGAACCCATCCTTGCCCGTCCCTCCAAGAGACACGCTCTGTGCCTGGGCCTACCCAGGCCACCCCCAGCCCCACATCAGGTCCCCTTTGGTGGACAGACCCTGCACCTCACAGGCAGCCTGTACTGGCTGCGTACCACACTGTGCCGGCTGCTTCCTCTTATGTTTTCTCGTTCTGTCCTCAGTCCCTCTGAACACTTCTGCAAAGCAGGACCTAGGCTGCAAAGCAGGTTCTAGGATTATTTCCATTTTACAGGTGAGGAGATTGAGACTCAGAGAGATAAAGTCACATGCCCAAGGACAACAGCAAGCGGTTCAGTGGCTTCTTAGCCATGTTCTTTCCTATACACAATGCAGCGTCACTTGAGATTTTGGGAGGGCGGTAGGCACAGCTCCTCTCTCCATAACACTCTTACCTACGGAGCCCAAGGAGCCTCCTGCAGGGAGGCAGATACTTTCACCAGCCTCCTTAGGAGGCCTCTGGCTCCTTTCTCTGTGACAGGGTTGGGTCCCCTGCTGTGCTGACTCAGTGGCTAAACTCAGCCTGCCCTGTGGTCATTTGAATCCCCAGGGCTGCTGCCCACCCATTGCTGGCCCCATAACCAGGTGGTGCACGTCCGGCAAGCCCAGGACCAGCCATCGGAAGGAAATGGTGCTGGGTGCTCACCTGCTCACTGCAGAGGGTTCTAAGTCTGCAACTCAGGTAACTGGGAAACAAGTGACAGAGTTACCTGCCCCTGGTCGCCAGGGCCAAGTGCCTGCCTAATCCGGGCGCTGTGCTGGGTTGGACTCTGCCCATCATCAGCAAAACCACATTAACTGAGAGACTCAGAGTTTGGGTGTTCTGATTCACTGAATTTGATGGATATCTTAAAGCTAACTCGCAAAGCCTTTCTCTAATGCCTGACTTTATTTTTTTTAAGCATTTAAAAATTTTTTATTTTTAGAGAGAGGGGAAGGGAGAAAGAAAGAAGTCTTGACATGAGAAACATTGATTATTTGCCTCTTGTACATGCCCCATCTGGCGACTGAACCCGCAATCCAGTCATGAACCCCAACCAGGAATCGAACCGGTGGCCTTTTGCTTTGTGGGACAACACTCAACCAACGGAGCCAAACCAGTGAGGGCAATATAATGCCTGGCTTTAGCAGCAAAAAATGAGAAAAACTGAAATGTCCAGCAGCAGGGGACTTTCACATATAAGTCATAAGTCGTTCACTTAATGGAATACTATGAAGTCATCCCAAATATTACAAAAGAACATTCAGGGACTGGAGAAATGGTCACAAGATATTAAGGGAAGGGTTTCAGAACAGTAGGCCAGAACAAGCTCCCATTTGTCAAAGAAAAGTGAAATATCTATTTCTCGTTTACGGATATAATAGGAAAAAGACACTGACATTTTAGCCATGCTCTATGTTGTTGGGTGTCAGTTTTTTACATGATTCAAATTCAAATAATATAGAAAGTCAGAAGTATGTCTCCCATCCCTGTCCCCTAATCACCCAGAGATACTTTATGCGCACGAAGTATGCATTTTCCCTTCACATTGTTTTAATGCAAGAGAGCATAGTCTACGTACACATATGCCAGTCCGTATGTAGCTTAGCAACCATTCCTTATCTACATATAAAGGTTTTTTCATTCTTTGCTTTCCCCCAGGGACCTAGTATTCCACTGTACGGATATACCTAAGTTTATATAACTCATCCCTTACCAATGGACACTGTAGTGGGCAGATGGTGGTGGGTCCTATTGTGTCCCCCCAAAAGGTATGCTCAAGTGCTAGCCCCCAGTACCGGGGGATGTGACCTCATTTGGAAACAGGGCCTTTGCCGATGTGATTACAGATTTAGGTTCCACCTGAATTCAGGGGCGGGCCCCAAATCCAATCCAGGGTGTCCTTACGGGAAGAGGAGAGGACGCACACCGAGACACAGAGAAGGCCACGTGAAGACCGAGGCAGACTGGCACCATGCTCTGTAAATCAAGGAATGCTCGGGGCCACCAGAAGCTCGAAGAACCTCTGGAAGGAGCACAGCCCTGCTGACGTCTTGGTAACAGACTTCCAGCCTCCAGAGCTGGGAGAGAGAATGAATTTCTGTAGTTGCCCAGTTTGTGGTCATTTGTTATGTCAGCCCCAGGAAACTAATACGAAAGTGGACTTCTAAAACGGCCCTGGAGGGTCCTGCCTCCTGGTATTCGCACCCTTGTGTAACGCCCTCCCCTCCAAGCATGTGCAGGGAGGGGCCCGACGCTTCTTCTGCCCAGTAGAATCCAGCCGAGGTGACTGCCATTTGCTGTCTTGCAGGCATTCTTGCTTGCTCACTTCCCCCCCCCCCGATTTTATGTATTTATTTTAAGAGAGAGAACCACCAATGCGCAAGAGATTTGATCAGTTGCCTCTCACACACCCCCAACTGGGGACCCGGCCCACAACCCAGGTGTGCCCTGACTGGGCATCGGATCGGCAACCTTTGGGTTTGCAGGCCAGCGCCCAATCCACTGAGCCACCAGCCAGGGATGCTTGCTCACTTTGAGGAGGCTAAGTGCCCAGTTGTGAACTATGGAGAGGCCACGTGGCAAGAAAATGAGTGACCTCTGTCCAAAAGCCAACAAGGAACACAGAATCCTCAGTGAGCTCAGAAGGGGATCCTCCCCTGTTGAGCCTTAAGATGACACTGCAGCCTCAGCTGACAGCTGGGCTGCAGCCTGTGCCACCTGAGGAGACGGAGCAGCTGCTGAGCTGCCCCTGGGCTCCGGACCTGGGGGAACCGTGAGACGAGTGTGTTGTTTTAAGCTCCCGTGTTTTGGGGTGACTGTTACATGGTGATAGACATACAGCCCATTGCCAATCTTTTGCTATGGCGATATCACACGACTGTTAAAAAATTCTTCCTGCTTTGTTTTCATATCCACATCACATTGGTAGTGAGGAAGAAATCAAAGTATGTGTCCGCATTCAAGTTGCGTGAGGAAAAATGGGTCTGTCCACAAAGCACTGTATCTTCATTTCCTGCTCTGTCAACAGCTCCTGAACACCTACTGTGTGCCCACAATCACTTCAGTGGCCTCCAATCACCTAAGGAATAAAGCCCTTCCCTTGGCCTGTCATTCAATACGAGCCGCATACGGCTTTCTTAATGCACGTGGTGGGAATGGGAACTCCCACATATTAAGCAGGTCCCCTGCTGCCAGTGTCCCTCAAGCAGACCAACCTGATTAGCAGGATGGGAGCTGCAGCCAGACTGCCAGGGTTCCAGCCCCACCTGTGCCACTTAGCAACTGTGGGACTTTGGGCAAATTACATAATCTCACTGTCCCTCCATCCCATCCCTTTGTGAGACTAGGATGAGCACCTACCTCACAGGGCTGTCAGGATGATAAAATGAGTTTTAGGTGGAGTGCACAGAACGGGCCTAAACAACAGGTACTATCAACATAAGGGAAAAGGCAGGCCCAAATGAGCGGGTTACACAAGCTCCCAAGGCCGTACATCCGATTCCGTTCTCACACCGACTTCCACCCCAAACACCCTTCGCTCACTTCTCGTATCAGTTATCTACTGCTGAACGGCATTCCCACCAACTCAGTAGCTCATTTACTGCGTTTCTGCGGCTCAGGATGCTGGGCACAGCTGAGCTGGGTCCACCGCACAGCTCCAGTGCGGGTGTTGGCCAGGGCTGCGGCTCATCTGACGACCAATTGGGGCCAGGTCCGTTTTAAGCTCCCGTGGCTTTGGCAGCACTCAGTTCCTTGCCGACTGCTGGACCAGGCACTCTGACTTCTGCCTGGCTGTCGGCCTGCTCTTGTCACCCTGACCCTCCAGCTAGGGCAGCTCGCCAGCATGTGCCAGCTTGCTTCTTTAGACACAGCAAGACAGTCATTGCAAACTCTTGGAATGTCATCATGGAAACAGTATCACGTCGTCCTTGCCTTATTCTACTGGTTAGCAGTCACAGGCCGTCAGAGGTATCATTACAGAGATGCTGGGTTTGGTGTGGAGGGGTGCTTCCTGGGGATCCTGGTCCTGTAGCAGGTTTTTCACTTGGGAGTCAGTGGGTGATGGAGAGCCCCAAGGTACTTTTCAGGGTTGATTCTTGGTAACTGTTTCTTCTCAGCTGCCTCATAATCACCATCATGAGCAGCAGTATTGGACATGTTACCTGATTCTAGATAAAGGCGATTAAGGTCCAACTATAGGATGGGCACCCGCCACACTTTACATACCTCATTTGAGTGCCACCTGGGTTAAGAAAGGACTCTGGTCACACATCTCACCAGGAGGCGGCCTGGACCCCAAGCCCAGCCCTGTCTCCAGAACCCAGATGCTTACTTTCAATGGCGTGCGCTTCGAGTAAGTTCCTCCAAGTCCCAGCTTCCTCATTCTCAGCCTCCAAGCACTTAGAAAGACGGGAAGTAATGGAAAACAGACAAAAAAGCTTTCTCTTCCTAAGAATCCTCTGGTGCAACTTCCTTAATCCTCATCCAATGGACATAAGGATCCCCAGTTTTTTCCTTTGCCCTCCCTGTACTGAGTGCTATTTCCGTATCAAAGATATAAAACTACTTGTTCTGACTGGTGCTCGAGCACTCGGGCAGAAGTGCGCCACCCTTTTTATTTTTGGCCTCTGTGGGCCCATAGGCCCTCGGTATTAGGGAGATGCTCCCACAGTGAGGCTTGGTGGGAAGCTGGCGACAAGAATGTCCCAGAATGGCGAGAAGACTACTCTTCTAAATGCATAGAAGTAACCCGCTGTCTTAGGGGAACAGGGCCAAATTCTCTCACGGTGGCAATCTCACACCCTGGCCCAGACTCAGTGTGCGTGACCCATGGTGAGAGGCGGGTGAGCCGTGGCACCCTGGAAGGTTTGGGGCCGAGCCACCAGAAACATGTTTGTCTTTGACATGCACTGACAGAAGCAAAAATATTTATTTTTTTATCTTAGAAATCTGGTCCCACAAAAAAGGCAAATACTTTTGTCAGTTCATCATATTGACCCTTCAGAAATCTTTGAGAGGTAAAACGGATAAAAGCAAGTTTAGAGGCGTGCTCAGATAGAATACTTTCTTATAAACCAGCAACACAGGCACCCCCAAGAGCTCAGTCGGAGCTCTCCCGTCAGTCCCTGGAGGAGAGAGCACTGTCTGCAAAGAAGGCACTTCACACCCACCAAGAACACCCCACTCCCCAAGGCTGCCAGTGGGTCCCCACCTCCAAAGAATGGCTTCCGCTTCCCTGCCCCCAGGCCGTCCCTCCTGGCTTCCTGCACCTGTCTGGGCCCTGCACTGCCTGCCTGGCCTGAAGACGCGGGAACCTGGCCAAGTGGCCGAGGTGAACACTGCTTCCCAGAGCCCAGGGTGGCGCCTGCAGCCGACAGAAAAACAGGTTTTCAGAGGCCCCACTGGGGCCCAGGGCAGGAAGGGTCCCTTTGGCAAAGGTAACAAGCTAGCACAGATCAGCACATTAGCAAAGCAAGTATTAAGAATCTCAGAAAACTGGTTAACACTCCCAACTTTACTCGGACTGTCCCTCTAAGCCGCGGCCTCTAAGCCTGCTGGGGACCAGTAGGGAAGCCCTCCTCTGAAAGCGCCTAGATGAGCAGCTACAGGCACTTGGAGTGCAGGGAGCTCCCCTCCGAAGGGCGACCCCATGGCACCTGTCATCCCTGAGCAGGGGTGATCAGAGGCCAGGCAGCACACTCAACCCCTCTTTGCTTTTGGGGGCCTGTGTTTATTCAGGGTCATTGTGACGGAGAAGTAGTCCCAGAGTCTCTCTCGAGTCAGGAGGACACGCAGGGACAGGGTCTTGGAGCGTTTCTCCTCCTGTGTCCTGGTTGCACACTTGAGTCCCAGGAACAGTGCAACACGGTGACCACGGACTTCCCAATGTTCCTGGTCTTCCGGCAGAGTCGAGCGAGGAGGAGAGGAGAGAGGCTGTCGGGGAGTGCTCTGCCCTCCTTCCTCTGGCCCCGACGAGGCGGCTCCTTTCCCAAATTGTATGAAAACACAAACAGCTGGGCTCAGTCAGAACTGGACCCAGCCTGTGCCCGGCTGGGCCTGGCTGGGGGTCACCCTGTAGAGGGAAGACAGGGAGGGGTGGCAGAGTTTAGATGCTTTGAAAATTACATAGCACATAAAAGGTGGATTTGGTCTGGGCAGAAAGAACTACAAGAAGCCAGCTACTGAGTGTTCTAGAGCAGACGTCAGCAAACTATAGCACAGGCATTAAATCTAACCCCCTTTATTTTACAAATAAAGTCCTACTGGCACACAGCCATGACCATTCACTTACATATCGTCTGTGCTACCCCTGAGCTAGAAGAGCAGAGCTGAGTAGCAGGAACAGAGGCCACGTGGCCTATGAAGTCTAAGCTACTTGGCTCTCTGGTCCTTCACAGAAAATGTGTGCCGACTCCTGGCCCACAGCCTGTCCCCACAAATGGTGGTGCAGTAGGATTTTAGCATCTTTTCACCCCAATACCAGGGACAGGCTGCGCATTTTGTGGGGTCAGAGAAGGCAAGAGACCTGGCCTCAGAGGTCCCAGAGGATGAGCCAAGGTCAGAACCCAGGCTGACTATCAGCCCCTTGTTCTGGGGTGGGTGGGGGCAGGAAAGGGGAGGAGATACTGGGGACAAGCAGAGGCACTTGTGAGTGGTTTAGAGACCAGAAAGGGCTGCACAAGCTGGCTCCAGGCTACCTAGCGGTGGAGAGCAACAAAAAGTCTTCAGGGACAGACACGTGCCACCCAAGCGAGTGCGGGGGGGGCCCTGTCCTCTGGGTGGCCTGGAAAGGTCCAAATTGGAGCTGCTGCTCGGAAGACCAGAAGGCAGGCGTTCGGAGCGACCCCAGGTTTTCACAGAGACGGCCTTGGCCCACGTCCCACCACAGAGAACGTGAGCCTCCTCACCCCGTGGACTTGGCGAAGTCTCCCCAGATGTCAGCCGTGGCAGCAGTGGCAGGCTTGGGCTGGGGCCAGGGCACAGTGGTCCCTCCTAGGGATGTCCCCGAGTCCGGTGGGTAGGAAGAGAAGCGAAAAAGACAGGAGTCAGAGATCTTTCCCGTTGTCTCAGGGACCCTGAAATCAGTCTCAGTAATTCCAGGCGGCTGAGAAAGACACTCGAGTGAAGGCCTGCTTTTGGGCAACGAAACTCATGACTGGGCCTCAGAGCCTATTTCTGTGCTTTTCTGGCACCTCCCCTAGTGCTGCCAACTGTCCCTTCTGAAGTCCCAACTGCCCCTGTGCCTGCCACCCTCTGCCTTCCCACCCACTTGCTACTTCTGATCCGCTCTGGGCTGGGAGGCCGGATGAAACGCGGGCCTTCGGTGGTGCCACAGGGCACCCAGCGCTCGAGTCTGCCCTCAGTGGGGCGTCGCCGCAGTCCCTGGGGTAGACATGCCGGCCCCAGCCGTGTGGCTTCACGCAGGCCAGTCGGCCCTCAGTTTCCTCGAGTCTAAAATGGAGACAAGAACCGTGACGACCTCAGAGGACTGTCTGAGGATTAACAGGCCCAGCACGGCATGATGAGAATGATGACAATGTTAGTAAAATGAGAGCTAATAAACGTGGGCACTAACAATGTTCACAGGGCTCCCCACGGACCATCTGATCCCTACAAGAGACCTGTACCGTAGGTATCGCTGCCACCCCATCCTGAAGATGAGAAAGCTGAGGCTCAGAGAAGTGGCAGCTTTCTGAATGCCACACTACGGGTAAGCTAGGATTTGAGCTCAGCCAGCCTGGTTTTAGAACGTGTACAGGGGTGGACAAAGGTAGGTTAATAATAAGTAATAACACAATAACTAATAATTATAAATGAGCTGTATATTCACAACATAAACCTATTTTTGGAGTTTATTCTTATATATCAGTTACTAATCATTGTATTACTTAACATTACTATTAACCTACTTTTGCGCACCCCTGTGTAAGGCTCAGTACACGTCAGCTAGTCCCGGCTCTTATTTATCCAGCACCACTGAGTGCCAGACGTGCCCCCTGCCTGCCTTTCACATGAACGTACAACGTGAACGCAGTATCCCCAGGGCCCATGATGCCACCCGGCACACAGCAGGTTCTTCGTATTGTTTGTTAAAAATGCACCAGCAACGAGGGAAGGACTAAGACAGCAGTGCTCAGACCTTAGTGAGCCAACAAATGACAACACAGATTCCTGCCCCCACCCCAAGCAATGCCCAGGCAAGCAGTCCTGAGACCTCACTGAGAACCAAGGCTGAAAGAGTAATTTCTGGGGCAGGGGTGGGGAGCTCACTGCCTGCTACCCTTCCCCACCTCCAGATAGGGAAGCCAATGTCCAAGAGCCTTAAGTGGAAAGAAAGCAGACTTCCTGCCTGCCTGGATCTCATCCCCAAGAAGCTGGTGAGCACTGTGTAGAGAAATACAATCGCCCCACCTGGGAAGGGCCAGGGCATCAAGCTGGGTGGGGAAGGCAGGGTGGGGAGGTTGAGGGAGGGGGCTGGCACCCCGGCTCTTTCAGAGGCCAGCCCGCAGCCCCAACTTCTGGAATTCCAGGGTCTCTAGGTGGCGCCCCTTACATCCCGGAACAAGCACCACACCGCCTGCTGAGGGAGCTGCCTCTCAGCTCTCGGCGCCCTGATGGCCTGACCAAGGAGTCACTCCAAACCAGAACTCCCACGCTCTTTCTCACCACTCACCCTGGTGCTCCCACCCTCGCCCATCTCCCTCAACACAGCAGGAGCGTGGGAGTCAGAGCCCTGTGCAGCTCTCCCCTCTGCGCAGAATCCCGAGTGTTCTCCTTCCTTCAGGGCCCGCTCCACGCCACCTCTTTCGTGAAGCCTCCCCTGGTCGTGATGGCTGGCAGTGAGTCTGGTCTCCAGTCTCTGGGCTTGTCTCCAGTCCCCCTCCCTCCTACTGGATGTGTTGTGCCCTAGGAGCACAGACTGTCTCTATCACCCGCTCTTTTAATGCCCATGGACTAGCCTCTGAGAACCAGGAACCCATGGAATGACTTCACAGGAAGGAAGGAGTTGAAGTTCCTGCCCATCTGAGGAGAGACACCCTGAATGGCTCAGTGGTGGGTTGCAGGGGAACAGAGGAACCCTTTATCCAGTGTGGCAGGGTCAGCTCCCCGGTGCTCACCTTCCAGGTGGCCACATACAGCCACTAAACGACAGATCGATGAGGGAAGGAGGGAAAGCCACAGGCCCCAGCTGCCAGGAGAAGGGAACCCACTCAGCAGCAAGTACAGCCACCTAAAGAAAAAACAACCAGCAAATTATTTATCAAATGCAAATCAAGCCTATTATTACACACTGTTCCGCATCCGCCAGAGGAGTTAAAACACAGAAGCACTCACCTGACCCGGGAGCAACTTCTGGCTGGACAAGAGAGCCCCCTACAGACAAATGATCCGCAGGGGGAGGGATCAGGGTGGAAGTTTTCCCTCCTGGGGGAGGGGGAAGCAGGCTCAGTCCTCCTGTGCTGGCAGGCCGGGCTCGGGGAGTCCCGGCTGCTCCTTCCTTCTTCTTCATGTTCTAGAGGAGAGAAGTGTGCACCAGTCAGCCCTGCCGGTGCCCCACTACCGTCAGAAAGCCCCACAAGGTGACCCCCAGGCTCCAAATGTGTATGTAACCAACAGACGGTCAAGATCTGTCCAGTATTTTCATTGTTGCAAGAGGTATTCGATGGCTCATAATTCTAATGCTATCAAACACATGTAATTTAAAACCCAGCATCTGAATTTATTCATCATTAGGACAATGCAAATCAAGCCTATTATTACACACTGTTCCGCATCCGCCAGAGGAGTTAAAACACAGAACACCAAGTGTGGACAAGGGTCTGGGGCAACGGGAACCTTCATACGCTGCTGGTGGAGCGTCGGCTGGGTAAACGCCTTTGAAGAACTGATGACCCTGCAATTCCCCTCCCCAATTCAGACCCCACAGAAATGCACCCAAAGATACGCGCTCGAACATATCTTTCAAGTTTGTGTTGCTGATTCACGCTCAGCAACACGGCTTGTTTCAACAGCCCCAAATTGGACACCACCCAAATGTCCCCCACCAGGGAAGTGTGTTAATCGCTGGACACGCTCTCACAATGGACTACGTCCCCACAAGGAGAATGAACACACTACACGCAGCAGGGTGGATGGAGGCGCTCACCACCACCACCACGTCAGTGACAGAAAGGAGCCGTACACGAAGGGGTACAAAGCGGATGACTCCATCAGCAAAAGTGGACAGCAAAACCTAGGGGAACAGTCGGGACAGCGATTACTCGGGGCGGCAGCGACTGGACCGCGGCAGCAGAGGGGCTTCCAGGGTGCTGACGTCTGCATCTTGATCTGGGGGCTGGTCTGCGTGGGTGAGTTCGTTTTTTTTAAATTCATTAAGTTCTGCATTCACAATTTGTGCGCTTTTCTGTATGTATAACATACTTTAATAAAACATTTAAGAAAAACCAACAACTCCGAGCACGGAGCGTGAGCCAGAAGCCAGCACGTCACAAAGGTGAAGACCACCTGCAGCCCTACTCGTAAGGAAAGACTCGGCTCAATCGAACACTAAGACCACAGCCCTAGGTCAAAGCCCTCAAAGAGCTCCGCATGAGTCCCGCTGGGCCAGATGTCTCTAGCTCTAGGACCCTGGGCAAGTCCCACAACCTCTCCGAGCCTCAATGTCCTCACCTGTGAAAGGGGAGCATATTTAATTCATACGAGAAAGTGCCTGGAAACACTACCTGACACACAGCTGCTCAGTAAATGTTAGTTTCCTCCCAGCAAGAGAAAGAATCACATCCCAACCAGTCCACTGGATTTGACCTGCATTTTCTCTTAAGGGCCAGCTGGCCAACTTCAAGGTCCCAAATCATCACTAGCACAAAGCAGAAAAGAGGAGAAAGAGATAGTAAGTAAAGAGGAAGAGCATTATTTTAGGGTTACAAAGTTTCTTCAAAATCAAATCCATTTGATCCTTGGCTCCCCCAAATCATTCCAACACCACCCCTGCGGTAGCTCAAGGCCAAGTCACGGCAACCCAGCCACTCCAACCTCTTCCTCTTCTCAGCAGGAGCTAAGGGGACAGCAGATGCAGGGAGCCAGGACACCACCGCCAGCAGCAGGCCCCATGTCTCCCTGTGCCCATCTTGATGCCTTCCTGCCCACAGCACCCCAAAAGCTTCCTTACTCAAGGTGCAAGGACAAAGACACAGCTCGGAAGGAGCACACTGACCCCCCACTGTAACAGCCAGGACAAAATCGCCAGCTCTGGCAACAGGTGACCGATGCTACTTCTCAACCCAGAGGCTATGCACGTGCCGTTCCCTCTGCTCGAGCCACCCTTTCACCCTTCCTCCCTTCTTTACAGGTTGCTTCTTCCAGGAAGTCTTCCTTGGTTCCCCTAACTCTGGGTTATGTGCCTTTCCTGTAGGAACAGATGGTGGAGGCCATCCCTAGGTCAGATCTGCCATGTTGTAATCACATCTTGACTTGCCCATCTCAGCTCAACTCTGAGGGGACAGCGGGGCCCTCTCGTTCATCCCCCCATGGCACCTGGAACAAGGCAGCTGCCCAGTAAACACCTGCTGAGCCAATGGAACTGAGCTGTGAGAAAGAGCCAGGGGCTCTGCACTGGGTGGGCCCAGCGTGGTGGCCGCAAGTGTCATCTGATCGTGGCCAACGCAGCCAAGTGAGGGTGGACTCACCGCAATGTTGAGCTTGATGGTCTGGCCCTCCTTGAAGCCTAGGTCCAGTTTGGGGCCTTGGTCTGGGTTCTGGGCTTGCTTTGCAAATTCACACTGCTGTTTCACCCACCTGGGGACAAGGAGACACGCTGAGGAAGAGCCCAGCCGCCCTGCATTCACACTCACTCCATTACTACCTCCTGCCGGTCTGAGAAGAGGCGCTTTACTGCAGCAGGGGGCGGAGGAGCGCAGGCCTGGAGTCAGGCCTGAATTCAAATCCTGCCTGTGACACCTAAGCAGCTGCATACCTGTCAGTTTCTGCATCAGCAAAATGGTTGACAGTCTATGTGTCTTAAAGCCTGTTATGAAAGTTCAATGAGATCACTCATGTACAGGGTTCTAATGCTGGTCTTAAGCAAATCTGAGAACCCAGCCCTCTACTCCCAAGTACTTGGCATAAGAACTAAGATAAGGACTCCTCCCACCCCACGGTCCTTAAGGTAGAAGGTGAGATAAGACAGATGCTAGGAAGAAGAGGGCAACACAAAGGTCCCCCATCTTGCACGAAACAGCCATCTGGGAGCCACCCGGGGCAGGGGCACCAGCACAGGGAAGACCCAGAGGCCTCCGTGTGAGCAGCTACACCGTCTCCACTTGTTGGAAGTCAGAGGTGGAGGCCTGCAGATGGCAGGGGAGCAGCTGTTCTTGCCCTGCCTTTTAGCTTCGGAAAGGACCACCCGGGCACCTGTTCAGTGGCCTGGGAAGCCAAGCACCACTTTTTATACCAGAGGAATAGGCCTAGAAAAGGCACAGGAGCCTGTCAAGGACTCTGGCTGTTCAGGGGCCTGGAAAGGGAAGAACTGTGAACCCTCAAAGTCTGGGCCAGCTAACTGGGGTGGCAGCAGTGGGCATTAGAAAAAGAAGGTAACTTCAAAGCAGAGATGAGGCCTGGCAGGATGCAGAGAAGCTGGCCTGTCCCAAAACAGAAGTGAGTTTTCCTAGGACTCTGCTGGAAGACAAACCACACACCACCCCCTGGGCACCCTACCCCGGGAGATCGTTCTGTCCGGGGTAAAGGGAGGAGGCCTTCTACTCACTTGAAATGGTCCTGCAATGCAACGTTGAAGTCAAAGGCATCCCCTCGGTCCCCAAAGCCAATCCCAATAAACGCCCGTCGCCCTAGAAGACAACAAGTGATCAGTCCCACCTTCCAGGGGCAGAAAAGGCCTCCTCACAAGGAGCAAGCACCAAGACCCTCACGTACCATTTCCGTCTTCGATGCGGATAACGAAGTACCTGCTGGAATCTGTCACGCTCTCCACGGCCGAGCCAGGAAACTGGTCCACCGGGGCCTGAGCGAAGAGCTCACCTGAAAGCACAAGTCAGAGTGAGCCCGCGCCCACGCCAGCCTGACCTTCCCATCATCCCACCGGGGCCTGCTGCCCGTGAGGCACACAGGCAGACCTCCCTCTGGGGTTCAAGTTAAATCCATTCTGGCTGAAGGGAAACCAGAGGAATACAACCAACGAAAGGTTTAGGTCAGAGGTGGCTTAGCTTTATCTTTCATTTAACTGCCAAACACTTTAAAATCAAGCTACACATAAAATAATGAGTTCTGGCTTCTCTTAAAATGAAAAGCTATGCCCTGACCGGCGAGGTTCAGTAGGTTGAGCGTCGCCCCACAAAGCGAAAGGCCGCTGATTCAACTCCTGGTCAGGGCACATGCCTGGGGTGGAGGCCAGGTCCCCAGTTTGGGGCAGGAGAGAGGCAACGGATCCACGTATCTCTCACACACTGACGTTTCTCGCCCTCCTTTCCCCCTCTCTAAAAATCAAATCAAATCTTTAAAAAAATCAACAGCTGTAACAACACTGGGCCCCCATCCCCACGTGAGAATGAAGGGCCAAAGCCGCTGGCCACTCACTCCATCCACCAGCCCCACTTGTAAGGCCCGCCTGCACTCTGAGAGCTCTGCCACAGGTGGGCCTGGCCCAGGGACATCACACCTTCAGAAAAGACCTGGTGCCTGAGGCAGGGATGTGGAGAGCTGGTGAACCAGTTGGAAAGGAGGGAGAAAGTTTCTGCACCAGTAGAAGAACCAGAAGCTGGCTGATTTAATTTCAGAGACAGAGCAGGAAGGAATGGTTTTAAAAGGGGGCCCTTGTGAAGTGCAGCCCCTCGTTAACAACCACTCTCCAGGGTTCAGCGCTCACGCCTTTTGTGGACATTCATGACTGGCATCCTTTCCCCACGCAATGATCTTTGCTGGTGCTTTAAGTATTTAACCAAATATTTTCTCGTGAGACCTGTGATTCTGAGGTGACTGCAATCAAAACTGAGCTACATCAACATCCATGGGCCTAGAGCCTGTAGCTTCTTGTTAACTTCTCTGTCCCCCTTAACTGGAATCTGGGGATGCCCTGGATGCCTTCTACCAGGACTGTACTCCCCTCGCAACCCCCGAGGGGACGTCAGGCAATATCTGGAGGCGTTTTTGGTGTCACAACTTGGGGTGGGGGAAGCACCAGTATGTAGCACACAGCAGCCAGGGACGTTGCTCAATATCTCACATGTGACCTGACAGCCTACAACACTCACCCACGTCATGGTGCTGAGGCTGGGAATCTCTGGCCTGGAGTGACTGAAAAGTGAGAGTCCAACATGACCCAGTGGGCATGACCCCAAGCTGAGAGTATCCTGGGTGAGGCTCGGCCCTGAGCAGTGGCTGTTACATTAGGGATCACCTGACAGTCAGTTCCCAAGGGCCCCAGAGAACAAGTGTTGCCACTCCCTTGTGACACCACCTGGGACATCCCAGCCAATCTCACAGCCAGAGTTCCCTGGCCTGCGCACAGCAGCTGTCTCCTCTAACTCCTCTGCAGACAACGCCACCCTGCCAACCCCACGCTCCAGAGCAAATCGACGCTTTAGGTCACCCCGAGGTTCACAAAACAACTGGATGCGTTCCCAACAACCTGGCGAAGTAGGACCTCATGTGATTCCCATTTCAACAAAGAGGGGGCCAAGGCGCCAGAGGTCCTGTGACTCACCCAAGGTCCCACAGCGCAGACACAGTAACACAGTCCTGAGAACTCATCTGCCTATGAACCTCTGCCCACCCCACAAAGGAAAATTTCTACATATTAGAAAAACAGACGGCCGACGCCGAGGCGCCTGACCGAGCGGGCACTGTGCCTGAGTCCCCGTTCTGGGGGCCAGGCCATTCCAGGCCGAGCTGCCCTCCACAGGGCATCCAGAGGCACTGGTGGCAAAGGATTTCCAGAGAGCTGTCCCCAAAAGTGACATCTACCAGCTACCCCAACACCATGCTGCCTGGCTCATCCTCTCACCACAGAAAGAGCTCAGGAAACGGTTTCGGCTCCTTCAGTTAAGGGGCGGGGTAGGTCTGGGAGTTACCATTTAGTCAATCAACAGAATTCCTGAGAACCAGAGGGCTGGGCACCTCCCCCCAGCCTGTCTCCAGGCAACCCCCTGGAGGGCGGGTTGCCCCACTTGGGACCCACCTACAGGTCTCCTCTCCTTGGGCTCCATAAGCAACATTTTCTTAAGGACCCCCCAAAAGAACAGGTGCTTGGCAGGAAATACCACTTTTAATACCTGTGGATAGTGGTTCCCACAACTAAAGACGGGCATATGTAGGCGGTTTAGAGACACATGTGGGATTTCCACTTCCAGGGCAGGTGCCCATGACCCCAGAGTGACCCGGCCAGGCCAGGGCTGCCTCTCCCTTCCCCGTGGGCAGCACAGCGCCCCAGCCCCGCGCAGGCATCCCCTGCCTTTACCTGAGGTCCTGTCCTCCAGTTTGATGTAGGCCACCTGCCCTTTCGCAGTGATCCGCAGCCGGCCGCTCCATGATGGCTGGTCCAGCTGCCACTCTGCAGCCCTAAGGGGACAAACACCATTGAGCCTCTGAGAGAGGCTCCAACTCCAAGTACTCCAGTGCTAGAGGTGGGGCTGGGAAAGGCATACAGGCTGCTTGCTCTAGACCAGGGGCTGGCGAACCTTCCCCAAGTGCCACACAATCTCCCTCGCGACTACCCACTGTGCTCTGTTACAGTGAGATTAGTCACTCACAGTTCACAAGCAAACTGGTGCTTTAAGGACTGTGACCGAATGGGCTGGGCATGGCTGTGTTTCTGAAAACCTTTGTAAACGCTGAAATCTGACTTGTGGATAACTTTTACATCACAAAACAGTCTTCTTAAAAAAATTCCCCATGCCATCGAAAACTGTAAAAACCATTCTTAGCTCGTGAGCCACACAAAAAAGCCGTGGAGCGCAGTTTGCTGACCCCAGTTTTAGATTATGGAGACCTTCTCTGAAGTAGGACTTCCAGTTTTCTTTCTGTAGAGGGAGTAGCTCCTGGGGCCTGTTTGTTTAAGACATTACTAGGCAGCAGTGATCAGAGTGACCACTGGGGATCAGAAACCATCTTGGAGGGAAAGTAGAGAGAGGAGCAACCATTTGCAAAGAAAAGGAGAACAAGGGGAAAATGAATGGGTGTTTAAGAAATATACCCTGGCTGGCGCAGCTCAGTGGATTGAGCGCCAGCCTACAAACCAAAGGGTTGCCAGTTCAATACCCAGTCTAGCGCACATGCCTGGGTTGAGGGCCAGGTCCTCAGTAGGATGAGAGGCAATCACACATTGATATGTCTTTCCCTCTCTTTCTCCTTCCCTTCCCGTCGCTCTAAAAATAAATAAAGTCCAAAAAAAAAAAAGAAAGAAGGAAACACATTCTCAAAGGCAGCCCAGGCAGCAAGGAAACCAGGAAACCAGGGGCCTATCACAATGGCCTCTTTGGGCTGTTACTGAGCGGTAAGTTCACAGTTTACTGCTCAGAAGCAGCTCTGTAAAATCCCCGCACAGCAAGAGCCCTGGGTCTTTCCATGAGGCTCTCCGGGGAAGTCCCTCAGCATGTGCTGGGACTCCAAGGGACACAACTGTCAACACAGGTTGTCTGGAAGGCCACAAAAATGCAGACTCTCCACTCACAAGTCAGCAGACTCGGTTTCAGTTCCTCTTACTACAGCACCAGGCCTTAGACTCAGGCTAAGCAGAGCTCTCGAGGTGAAGGGCAAGGGCCATCAGTTTCCTCTACGCCAAACCAGCCAGCCCTGACACTTGACATCCTCACTTTCTGGGCCACCAAGAGGGGCCACACCTACTCCACTGAAGGGGTTGGGGGTTGAGGACCATCCTGGTTCGGTGGCACATCTCCAGTTTGATGATAGAAAGCAAATGTGTTTTTGCTACTAACTATTGATGCTTTCATACTGTTTTAAAGTCACGTCATGGAAATAGTAGGTATTCAATAAAATATATGTTCACTACAGAATCAGCTATGAGCCCATGTTAATACACAATTGGAAATTAACAAGAAGTCAGATGTCCACACTCCATCGTTCCTGTGGTGGGGGCCAAATCTGGGTTCTGTATTTCCAAATAACTTGAACAAACAGGGCCTTCAAGAGTCACATCTCGCTCGCCCATCAGTGGCACAAAATAGCCATAGGCCAGGTTGTCTGTATCAGGTATCACTTTTTTTCTTTTAATATTTTTCATCTTCTTTTGATCGGTAATACATACACATAGTCATACAATACAAATGGTACAAATCCCCCATCTCCACCCCGTTCCCCTCCCGTGGGGCAGCTGCCTTCCAGATGCTGCTCTACAAGTATATGTTTGTTTATTCATTTCGGGGACATTTCAGCAGAGAAGTACGGATGATTCCTCCCAACTGCCGTAAACTGTGATAAGAGAAGAACTTCAAGTAAGGGAGCTGGCCAGGGAGGGGTCACTGGGCTTCCGCCATCAGCCTAAAGCTCCCAGCTGGAACTCCCTTCCTTCCCCTCTGGGATTTCCCGCCTACTAGAGGCCCCCTTCCCCTGAAGGTTTTTCAAGGATCTTTTGAAGGCTATCAGTTGGCTTTGAAAGAAAATGGTCTGCCACTCCACCACTCCCGACATCACTTACTTTTAGGTTACCTGGAAGCCACAAGGGCCCCCAAGCGCTAAACAGGCTTTAATCCCTTTCCCGCCACTAGGAGCCTGGTGCGTCGCACCGAGACAGCCGAAAGCTAATCCCTTCCCTGCTCTGGCCACAAGCTAGGAGACGCCGCAGCATTACCGGCCCCCTCGTCTCTAAGCCGGCAGGGGCCCTCCTCTGCTCCGAGTGGGCGTGTCAGGCAGCGGGGAAGGGGTTAAGTAGGGGTTAGCCAGGCCAGGCGGCGGGCGGTCACCTGTAGCCACGGTTGGTAGCCCTTGGAGGGATGCGGTAGACGTGCACCTCCGGCTTGACACAGAGAACCGACTCGTACTCGCCCTCCTCCATCTCGATGTCCGCAGCCCACCAGACTTCCGGCTCCTTCCCAGCCTGGGGGCGGAAGCGGCGCGACTCTATGACCCCGGTCGGGCTAGAGCGGCGGCTCGCGGACCTTCACGCCTCCTCGCCCCGGGCGTCCTCTGCTGGGAGCCGTGGCTCAAGGCATTCCGAAGTCCGTCGGACGCACCAGTCCCCTTGATGAGGACCGGGGTTTTCTGGGGACTTCCCCCTCCCAGGAGGCCTCACGTGCTGCAGAGAAACCGTCAATACAGACTCCACTGTTGTCTGGCTGCTGATCATCCCTAGCTCTTCCACACTTACATCTCGGGCCCAGCTGGCTGAGATTCGAAGCTGTAACACAGCTCATCCTAAAGACTCTCTCTTCCAGCCTTTGCCACCTCCTTCTTCTGACTCTGTAAGGCTCGACTGAGGCGCCTCCTCCAAGAGAAATCCTTTCTGTGATCCACTGTGCTCAGTGGGAGGCCCCTTCCTAGCCCCTTATCCTAACCTACCCTATGCCCAAGGCTCCTGTGACTCTTAGCAAAGAGCTGTATTCGAAGAAGCAAAATTTAGTAATGTAAATGGGAAACTGAATAAAGAAACCCCGTTTAAAATGAACTCAGGAGGCCAGAAGAAGAAGCTCTCCTGCACTACCATTCCATCTCAGTTATGCACCCCAACAGGAAGAAACTACCTTGCGTTTCCAGCAAGGGTTTCTACTACCCCAGAAGAAGGAAGAGTTTTCTCCTTGCCCAGCAGCAAGCCCAGCCAATGGGAACCCTTGCAATTCATCCAATGAGAACCCATCACCAACCAGAACTTTCACTTTCCTTCAAGGACTTTCCTTCCATATACCCCTACCCAACTTCCTCTTTTTTCTGTGGACTTGCCTACCTATACTTTTTTCTGTAGCATGCTTGTCCTGAATAAACTTTTAAAAAAATTTTTTTTTATTGATTATGCTGTTACAGTTGTTCTATTCCCCCTTTCATTCGCCTCCACCCTACCCCCCATCCCCACCATTACCCCCCCTTTAGTTTATGACCATGAGTCTCAAGTCCTTAAGATTCTATATTTCTCATGCTATTCTTCCCCCCCCATCTATTTTCTATCTACTGTCTATGCTACTTATTTTCTGTACCTTCTCGCCCCTTCTCCTCCTCCCACTCCCCTGTTGCTAACCCTCCTTGAGATCTTCATTTCTATGTTTCCACTCCTGATCTAGCTGTCCTTTTAGTTTGCTTTCCTTTTAGGTGTGGTTGTTAATAACTGTGAGCTTGTTGTCCTTTCACTGTTCATGTTTCTTTAACTTCTTTTTCTTAGATAAGTCCCTTTAACATTTCATATAATAAGGGCTTGGTGATGATGAACTCCTTGAATTTGATCTTATCTGAGAAGCACTTTATCTGTCCTTCCATTTTAAATGAAAGTTTTGCTGGATAGAGCAATCTTGGTTGTAGGTCTTTGGATTTCATGACTTGGAATACCTCTTTCCAGCCCCTTCTTGCCTATAAGGTCTCTTTTGAGAAATCCGCTGACAGTCTGATGGGGACTCCTTTGTAGGTGGCTGTCCCCTTAGCTCTTGCTGCTTCTAGGATTCTTTCCTTCATTTTAATTTTGGCTAATGTAATGATGATGTGCCTTGGTGTGTTCCTTCTTGGGTCCAACTTCTTTGGGACTCTCTGAGCTTCCTGGATTTCCTGGAAGTCTATTTCCTTTGCCAGATTGGGGAAATTCTCCTTTATTATTTGTTCAAATAAGTTTTCCACTGGTGGCTGTGCCTTTCCCCCCTTCTGGTACCCCTATAATTCGGATGTTGGAGCATTTAAAGATGTCCTGGAGGTTCCTAAGACTCTCCTCATTTCTTTGAATTCTTGCTTCTTGACTCTTTTCTGTTTGGCCATTATTTGCTTTCTTCTGGTCCACTCCATTGATTTGAGTCCCAGTTTCCTTTTCATTGCTATTGGTGTCCTGTGCAATTCCATTCATTTCAATTAGTTTCGCCTTCATATATTTGTCTAATTTGTCGGTATAATCAACCAGTTCTGTGAGGATCCTGATGACCAGTGTTTTAAACTGTGCGTCTGTGAGTTTTGCTATTTCTTCATCGCTTAGATCTATTGGCTCTGGGGCTCTGAGATCCTCCTGCGCCATTCTTGGTCTGTTCTGGCCCTTTAAGTGTGAGAAGCGGCACCTTGGATTCCCAGGTCGCTGGGTTGTGACGCTATATGTGGGGGCGTGGCCAGAGCAGGGAAATGGCGGTGCCCTCCACTGCCGCCTGCTGTGGGGACCAGCCGGCCGGTCCAACCGCCCACTCCCTCGCCTGTCCACCCGCGCACAAATGCGCAACCTCAGTCAACACGCAGCCCCGCTGCCCCGCTGTCTCCCCCGCGGTCGCTCGCCTGGTCGCTCGCTGGGTCGCTCACTAGGTCCGACCCTGCGCCTGGATTCCGAGCGGGTATGGATTCCGCGCGTCTGGATTCCGTGCCTGAGTCCGTCTGGCCGAGTCCTCCCGCGCAACCCTGCTCCGCCAGCCGCTGGTTTCGCCCCTTACCGGTCAGGCTGAAGAATTTGTTGTTAACGGACTTCCGAAAAGTTCAATTTTCCATGTTCTGGCTATGTTTTCTATTGCTAATATTTAGTTTTCTCTAATCCTGGTTGTGTGAGAAGGCACGACACATCCACCTATGCCTCCATCTTGGCGGAAGTCTCTTTTTTTTTTTTTTGCTGGTAAAAATAATTGGCTGTTTTTATTTTTAAGGTCACCATAAGTGATTGTAAAAGATGCCCGGTCTTAATTTGGATTTCTTACAGAATGCTACAGGGCATGCAAGGTTTAGCAATAATTGATTCTCAGAATTCATTCTCCTCTGCCATTCTCTCATTCATCATAAATATTTAGTGAGTGCTTGCAATGTGCTAGGACCCATGTGGTCACAGTGGATCCCAAATCTCTGATTCATTGAAGGTTCCCCAACTTTCTCCACCTGCTTTTACACTCTCCTTTCTCTCTCATTTTTTACCCAACCGTACTTGGGATTCTGCTGCCTGCCACCGCTCCCTAGGGGAAAATTCCAAAAGCTTGGTGATAAAGGAAAGGAGTCTATTCAAAAGAAGTTGCTTAAGTTTGTTAATCAAGGCTAACTCTAAACAGAGGTGTCCAACCCACTGCCCACAGACTGCATGCAGCCCAGAATGGCTATGAATGCAGCCAAACACAAAATCATAAATTTACCTAAAATCTTTTTTTTGCTCATCAGTTTTCTTTAGTGTTTGCATATTTAATGTGTGGCCCAGAGATGCCAAAAGGTCATCTGAGCTCTCTTATATTTTCCCAGTTAGTTTTTCGTTATCTTGTTTCTACAGGGTTAGTTTGCCAACTAAAAACAACATAATATACAAAAACTACACAATTTTGGAAGAATGGCAGGCTTCTGCCTCAGAGCCTGTTTGTTCTAGAACACCCAAAGAATAAACCTGCCACTCTCTGCCAGGCCAGCCTGAACCTAGGCTGTGTCTGGAGTTCCTTCCCATACAAAAATGCTGTCCACTGGGAAATGCAGGCAGCTGCAGCTCGATCATCCAGGCATCCTCCAGAAAGAGGAGCCTGAGAGTGAGCCAGCGCAGGAGCCAGAGAGCTCTCCCTTTTTCTTTCCATTGGCTCCAGAAGCATTAAGCTTCTCAGCCAATCCCATCCTTGACTGCCCACAATTTGCCTGGGCAAACTCCTCCTGCGGACCGTCCCTACTTCTCCCCAGTGATCTGAGTTATCTTCATCAGACCTCTCTGGGTTGCTTCTATTCACTCTGTATATGCTTTTTGTTATAGGAATGATCTATCCTCTTAAATTAAAATTTTACTGTAAAATATACATGACATAAACATTAGCATTTGAACCATTTTGTGTACAATTCGGTGAAACTAAGTGCACCAGCAATATTGTACACCTATCACCACTATTTATTTCCAGAACTTGTCACCAACCCAAGCACAAACTCTGTGTCCATCAAACAACAGCATCCCATTTCCCACTGCGCCTAGCCCCTGGTAACCGCTATACCTCTGTTCTCCTTTGTGTCTATGAATTTGCCTATTCTAGATACCTCATACAATCGTGCAGTGTCCTTCGTGTCTGGCTTATTTCACTTAGTACGATTTCAAAGTTTACCCGTGTCATACATAGCATGTATCAGAATTTCATGCCTTTTAATGGGCCGTATGATGATTCCATATTTAGCTTTTTGAGACACCTCCAAACTGTGTTCCACAGCAGCTGCACCATCCTACATTCTCACCAGCAATGAACCATGGTTTCAATTTCCCTCATCCTCGCCAACACTTGTTATTTTCCATTTTCTTTGATAATAGCCATCCTGGAGGGTGTGAAATCAACCCTCCTTTATATGAATTGACTTCTAATTGCAACATTGCTCTTCCCAGCAAAGAAATGAGATTTCTTCCTCCCAGTTCCTTGGTCCTGTCTCTCATTTCCCTAATGTTCTGGGGCAGTAAAGACAGACTCCCCTGAGAAAGTGGAGGGGAGAGCTCTAGAGAGGGCAGGGGAGGGACCACTCCCACACGGACCATCTTATTCCCTCCTATTCTCATCGTTCTGTGTATGTCTGCTTTTTCACTAGACTGTGAGCTTCTGGAACACAGGACCCTGTCCCTGGCCCTGCCCACCCCTGTATTCAGCAGCACAGGGCCGGGCACAGAGAAAGTGCTCGGTGAAGGAGTGAGTGAATGGGTGTGTGCGCACATGTGTATAATCTATTTGCTATATCCCAAAGCCAAGTGGCAATTTGGGGATAGACCACCGTGTTATTTCTTCTGCCTCCTGACTCCCTGCATCGGCGTATGCCGAACAACCCCGGGGAAAATAGGGTGGCCCAGGAGTAAAGCACTTGATCCAGCACTTGAGAGCTGAACTCTGGGGCAATGTCTACCATCAGCACCACGCTCTGTCACTTCCGCTCTGGAAGCCAAGCAGCATGAAGGTAGCCCATGGTGACCACTTTGGGCCTGGTCACGTGGCTGCCACAGCTAGGAAACCTT